GGAGTATGGAGCAACCGGTTACGCAAATAACATGCAAGAGTCGGTGGCACGTCAGGGACCAAGCCGGAGTCCTCCACCGATTGCATAGCCTGTTCCCGTGCCCGCGTCTCAGGGGTAGGCCGTTGGAGACTCACGGTCTTGACAGGCGGAGCTGAAGCGTTGTGAGTCCAATCAGCGGCTTGGCCAGACATTGCGGCGGCGAGGTCCGACTCGAGGTCAGTAGCACAAAAGTTTCCCAACTCAGGCGGCGGCCTCGCCCAGCCGGCGCGGGTCTCGGAAGACTCAGAGGTGCCGCCACCAACGGTGCGACCAGCAGCGGCCTTAGCCTTCGCCTTAGCCTTGCCCTCCGCCACGGCGGCAGCGACCTTATCCGCATGGGCCTTGCGCAGTGTGACCACAGCTTTGTCCACTTCTGCAGCCGTAGAGACTTTGGGTTGTTGAGGGTGCCCGCCACGACGAAGCAACTGCATTTGGATGCTAAAATCCAAAGAGGACCAAGATGGGTGGGGCTTCTCATGCGAATGCGCACAGTGAGCATTGCGGCAACCCCTGCGAGACATATAGTCCCAGCATAGGTACTTGCCCGTTTTTTGACATTTGGGGCGATGGTCCATAGAGCGTTGGACTTCCTTCCCTGTGAGGGGTTTCCCAAGCAGGGCGGGAGCAGTAGGTACTGCCCGGCTCGAGGCCCTGGGACCGTATCGGTCCGCGGGGCCTCGTCACCCGCGCCTCCTGCCCGACCTCCTCCTAACTGTTAGGACCCTTAAGAGCCAAGCTCCAGCAAGTCCTCTCAAGGACACGACGCTGCCGAGGCAGGACATCAGTCTGGAAATATTCCAAAGGATCCTCGAGTTCGAACGTTTGGGGAAGGCGCAACCAAGGCTGGCCATCCAGGCCCGGGGCGGTGCAGAAAAACTTGAGCCTCTCGAACGAGGGTGAATCTTCTCCCATTTCCCTACGGGCCTTCCTCTCGGTGTCCTTAATTTCTTCCAGAAAACGGCTCCACAGCTCCTCCCAGGTGGCAATGACCAAGTGCAGGGGCCAGGCGTGGGCTGACTCTTCCCCCAACCGGAGAAGACCATTGGCAGCGCGCTCCCAGCAGCCGTAGTGCTGGACCCCAAAAACACAGGCAACCGCCCAACTCTGCCGGAGGGCATTCCGAAACCAAAGGGTGAGGGTAGCAGGAGCCCGAGGCTTTTTCTCCAACTTAATGTCTCCTGGAATAGCATACCCATCGAAGTCGGCTTCCGACGTGGAGGGAAAGTCTCCCACGGTCAAGGCATACTCAGGGATCTGGCCCTTGCCGCCTATGTTCAAGCTGCATATCCCGAAGGCGAATCTATTAGTAATGTTCACGGGAAACTTGATTGATCGCAGCAAGGGCCGGTCTTGGGAGGCCGTATTGCGGAGAGCGTGAAACAATTCCTTCCCGACTGTGGCCGTCCCCAGCGGCACGGTGAGGGAATCACATCCCCTAATCATGAACAAACAGCGCTCCTCGGTTTTTCCGACAGCCGCTAATTTCCCACGATCTTGTGCAGAAGCTTCATCACGAGCAGACACTGCTTTAGCTATTGCTTGCAGTGCCTTTGTTGCTTCATCTGCGAACGCCGGCGGAGGATTGGTATACGCGCCAGCGCGGTACCAATCCGGCGGCGTGACGCCGAGGGCCCCTCCATCGCTTGAGGCCTTACGTCGCATCAAGCCCCCGATGAAGTCGTGAGAGGTCTGGCTTGCCTGTGGAAGAGGTGGGTCGTGCCAGGGAAGGGGTGCCTGACGAACGTTGACTCCAAAAAAGGAGTTGGCATTAACCGCGGGGTTGCCACTCATAGACTGAAGCGCCTGCAAGCTGTTTTCCTTTGGCTGACCCAGGGGTTGTTCCGGGGGCGCAACGCCCCTCGGAACATTTCCCTGCCAAGGGTCTACGCTAGCGAGGTCTGGGAGCGAAGCGCCCCTCGGATCCTCTCCGTGAGTTGGGCGCGACGCTGCCAAACTGGGCGCCCTTAGAAGCTGCTGCATATCGGAAGGTACATCCGCTCCCAGATTGGGCAGCATCAGGGCACGCAGAGCTTCAAGGACCTCGGGGTTATCCCCTGGTTTAGAGTTGGCTACGCAGGCCTGAGCCTCGAAGGCTAGGCTCTCCGCAAGGGCAGCTTCTTTGCCGGCGGGAAGATCAACTCCGAACTCATCCCGGTAGGCCCCTTTCAGGGAATCCCCCGGGTTCTCGAAGGAAAGGAGCCGCCTGGTAACGGAGGGTAACAAACGCTTTGCCTCTGTAGGGAGTGACTGCCCTTTGGATTCCAGTAGGCCCGATTCCACCGGCGGCGGCGTGGTGTCACTGGCGTTGCGTGTTCGGGACACCTTCGGCTTCTTCTCCTCCTTGGCCCCATGGAGCCGACACAGACGAACCCCTGCCTTGGTGTAGTAGGGTGTGTTGTAGCAGCCTTCTACCGAACAAGTTCGCCCTTTTTGTGAAGCCTGGTAGATGGCCCTATGGTAATCACAGACGCACACCAAATAGGATCCATCAGACCCCCTTTGCAGCCCGTCTTGACAACTGACCACCTCGTCAGCTTTCAGTAAAGGTTCCGGGCTGCCTCTAGAAAGATCCCTGCAAGGTTCAGAGGCCAAAGGTTTCACCCCTGAAAAACCAAAATCCATTCCAACCTGATCAGCTTGGCAGGGATTCCCCTCGTCTGCTTCAGACTCGGTCTCTGAGTCATCATGGCGGGGAGTCGGGTTGCCGGTTCCCGGGCGCGAAGCGCGCCGCGGGCTCCTTAAGCAGCAAACTCTGGAAAGACAGCCGCGGCAGCACGATGCTATCTTGCGAATCGCACGACGGAAACACGTGCACCAGAGGCAGCTGCAAAACCATGTGAGGATTGCGCATCTAGCCCAAGGTCCTCTTCCCGCCAAGTCTTGAAGGTCAACTTCCTGGGCCTGGGAAATAACTGCACTCGTGCCCACATGTACGGCTTGTTCATCTTCGGCCGTACAAGGTTGCTGGGCACATAAGTGGACTCGACACTCGGCGGCTTCCAACAGATTTCGGAAATACCGATGGGAGGAAGCCTTAACTTCATCGCAGGCGCAAACAAAACCGTGCCGATTAGTGCGACCCCTGATGGTCCCATGTCGCAAACGAGCAATGGCCGTGCCATCGGTGACAAGGAGGTCAAAAGGAAGTCGATTGGCTCCCCTACCTCTCACTTCAGTTTGCACATATGCGACCGTCCATGGTTCACCAGCACACGGGCCCTTCCAGTTGGGCCGGAAAGGTCTCTCCCCCAGGAGTCTCGAAACTTCGCTCCACGGTGCTTCACCTCGAAAGTACCGGAACAACGCCCGAATGTGAACGAGGATGGGAAAAATAACCCAGGTATACGTCCAGATGCCCAGCTGAATAAGGAATACCCCAACTATTCCAACCAGCAGCCAATACATCCAGCGCGCTGCGAAGCCAATGGAGGAGCAAAGTGGCCCGCAATAGGCCCTTGCGTAAGCGCTGAGAAATTCCCAGATTGGGAGTACTCTAAAGTTAAAAAACTCCCAAAAAACGCCCCTCCAACTCCACGGACTGTCATCTGGAGAAGGTGAGGATTCCTCCTCCGATTCTCCATCGTCCGCTAGTTCTTCCCACTTAGCTTGGAAAGGTATCCAGGAGAGGTCCGGGACTGAAAACAGTCCTCGAACCCCCCATGAGCTCTGGACCTCTCCCGGTCCTTCCCAAGTGAGGGTGGTAGTGGTGGTCGTGGTAGTGGCATTGAACTTTCGCTCGTAAGCGGAGGCTGCCAACAGCGCAGCTCCTGCAAATGCCCTGCCTGGCACCCAAACCATGGCTTTGCGCAGCTCCTAGGCTACCTAAAAAACTAAGCTACCTCGAGCCTAAAAGCAGAGGTGAGAAGACAGGTGAAACCCTACGTACGCTACGCTGTACTAAACAGAACGAATTCAACAGCCTAAATTAGATCAAAGGAATTCCATTATTTCATGAGTCATCTAGCTCCAGTTGAATAGAATTATATTGTGCTTTTATTGTTTAGTTTAAATAAAGCACAAGCCAACAAAGGACAACATCAATCTCATAGGTTGCTTCGTGTTTCCCTTCATTGAAATCTTTCAAAGGAAACAAATAAAGGATTCCATGACCTATTTTATAATGGGAAATCTTAATGGTTCCATGCTCCTATAATCTTACAACTACTTCTAATGGTACAGAGATTCCTAATTCGTTCATTTTGCTATTTTATTCAAAGTGAAACGAATTCTTGCTAATTTAAATTAAAGAAATGGAAAAGAGTTCATTGTTTATTGGCATTTGTTGACCATTAAATCTTGCTTTTTGGTTCCTTTCCAATTGACCAAAAGATCCAAATAAAGGACAAAATAAGCCAAATATTATTCTCTTCACTTTTATTCGGTTCATTTCCAACGATGGAAAGTAGACCACTGGTGATGGATGCTGAGTGGCTATTATAGGAGAAATCCCATGTAATCCCGTATCACCTATAATTTAGTTCATCTCCGGTGCCATTAGGATTAGTTCTACAGCATAAACTAGAATTACATTAAGGATATAATAAGCGAATTCTCTTGTTTTAATTGGATTAATTCATCACATTCTTTTCTAGCTCTAGGTCTTTAGGAAATGGGTAAATGACGTGGGTTTTCTTGAGATTTAACTCCCAGAGCACCTATGATGACTCAATTCTTAATGGTGGAATTGCCGTGGGTTTATTGAATTAAATCTACCGTTCCTGGCTCTTATTTCCTTTACTTTCCAGCCGCTAGTGACAGAGAATGAGAGGTGAATGGTGGGAAGAGAGAAAGGAACAAAACCACAAAGAAATGAACAACTTTATCTTAATAATTCACTTCATATTTCACTTCGTTGTTTCGTTTGTACTAAGGATATAATGACTGAGTGCTTATTGCATTTAATTGAAGTTAACCGCATGAGGCTTTGCGGGGGGGTGGGCTTTTGGGATGTGTCCGGCGACCTCCTGGTCCGGGCAGAGATGAAGCTCCACAACAAGGGAGGCCTCCACCTCTGCGCAAAGAACAGGCACACACACAAAACAGGAAGGAAGCGTGCCTAAAAAAACAGAGCGGCCTGGCCTCGGCGAGGGAGGCGATGCCTTGGGCCAGCGCCTCCAGGAGCTCCGGCTGCCGCTCGTCGCTCCCCGCGGAAGGGCACTCCGCAAGCCGCGCCTGCGCCAAAGCAAGCTCTCTCAGGCGCTTCGCTTCGACCTACTGTAACTGACTCAGCATGGCGATTCGCCGCCTCGCCGAAGATGTAGCCGAAGCCATCTGCAAAGGTGATGGTGTTTGTGGCAGTGGTGAAGGTCTCGGTGGTGGTGCTGCTTCGCGTCCATGTGCTTGTGACGCTGGTGTAGGTGCTCGATGTTTGAGAAACGGTGCTGGAGGTTCTGGAGATGCTGGAGGACGTGGAGGTCGTGAGCGTCGAGGTGCCACTTTTGCTTGTCCTGGCACCCCGGGAAAGAGCTCAGATTTGCCACTGAACCGAGAGGACCTCTGCCTGCCTCTTCTTCTTCGTAGGACGTATGAATTAGCACCATTCTACATCCCCCGTGTCGTGTCTTTAGCCGCCTCGCCGCCCTCGGAAATTTTTTAAACAAAGACAGGCCCGAGGTGCGAAGAGCTGGTGGAAGTCTCGGTTGCCGAAGTGGCCTCAGAGGGCTGAGGCGGCGTGAACTCACAACCAGCGCTTGCTCCGATTTCAGTCTCTGGCGGTCCCGGTCCTCACAGCATCAGGGGTCCAACGCGGCTCGTCTAGACTCTATAGGCTTATCATCACAACCGTCCTGGAGGAAGTTCTGGTGTAAGACGCGGTGCTGGTTGTGGTGCTCGTTGTGGAGGTCTTGGAGAGGCTTGTGGTGCGCGTCGTGGAGGAGGCCGTCGTGGAGGAGGCGGTTGTGGAGGAGGAGAGCGTGGTGGACGTGGACTTCGAGGTGGACTTGGCGGAGAGAAAAGCGACTCTCTCTCTCGCTCTGAGGATGTGCCGAGAGGCGGCCGAGTCTGAGATCCCGGCGGTCAGCGTGGAAGAGGTCTCTGTGACGGTGGACGACGAGGAGGTGGCGGTGGCGGTGAAGCTTGAAGACAAAGTCGTGGAGGACATCGTCGAAGACAGGCTGCTGGTCACAGAAGCCGTTTGGGTGGCCGAACTCACGGTTTCTGTCGAGCTTGAGGAGATAGTAGTTGCAGAGGAGCTCGAAGTGGTTGTGGTGACAGCCTTAGAGCTCGCCAACGTGGGCCGCTTCCACACTTCCGTGCACTGCAATGCTCCCTGACATGATTCCTCGTGAGGTAAAGACGGTGACCGACTGCGTCGCGGTCCTGGCACGGCCAAAAACAACAGATTAATTGAAACCAAACGAAGTGTTGCCGGGCACACGTCGAAACGGCAGGCTCGGTGGCTGTAGCAGTCCAGCTGGATGTTAGTGTTCTTGTTGTGTGCGTTGCGGTGCTTCGCGTTGAGGTCGCTGTCCAAGTGATGGTTCTGCTTGTCGTGGCCGAAGTAGTGCTGACTGTGCTCTGGGTTGTCGTTTCTGTCGTGGCGGAGCTCGCGGTCGTAGTTGAGCTACTGCTGATGCTGCTTGTCGAAGTGAAGCTGGTGGCCGTGCTTTGGGTTTTCGTGATGCTGCTGCTGGTGCTTGAAGTTGCCGTGAGGGTCAGCGAGCTTGTAGCGCTCACCGTGGCCGAAGTGGTCGTTGCGGTGCTTGTCGTTGCAGTGGCTGTCCCCGTGGAGGACGTGAAGGTCCAGGTGCTGCTCGTCGCCTCGACAAGGGCTCGCAGCGACTCTGAGGCGACAAGGAGAGCGACTTCGAGGCGCGGGCCGTGGTGGTGGGATCCTGGAAGTTGAATCGAAATGGCAGCACCCGTGCAGTGCCGCGCGTCTAAAGCCACTTCTTCGGCTGAACACTCGCCGCACTCGGCACCGGGCAGGGTTCACCTGGATGGCCTCCAAGCTCAGGACTTCCAGCACCACGGGAAAGCCGTCAGCATCCAGGGAAGCCTCTGATCCGACCACCCCAAAAAAAGGGAGACGCTTCTTGGGGAAGAACGCGCCCGGCCCATTCCCAGCCCGCCTGAAGCTTTTGGGTCATGGTCTCCGGAGACTCCAATTCCAGGCGCCTCACGACGTCTGCCGTGGCGATGCCCCCGCCCACCACCACCTCGGCTCTGAAGCGTGGCATCACGTGCCCACGCCCGGCTTCGGAGTTCGGAGGGGCCGAGGCCATCGAGTACAGGAGCTCCACCGGGCTCACCTGCAGTTGCCTCGACGCAGAGAACGAATCCCAGACGTTCGGCATTGTGGCAAAAGAGGCCTCGAGCTCGAGAGCCGGCGCCCATCGCACCACACAGAGACACTCACCACCGCCTCCTCCACCTCAAGACGCCGCCCAAGCGAGAGATAGAGGTGAGATCCGACTGGACTCTCACCTGCCTGGGCGATTTGGGCGAGCCCAAACTCCAATCGGCTCTTCCCTTCAGGGTAGAGGAACAACCCTGCGAGTATGTGCACAACAAGCCTCAGAATGCTCGTAGCAGCCTCCTCCTGTAGCACTATACAGCACTACATCCTGATCATCGTTGCCGTCCCCCCTGACCATCCTCCGGTCACCAGCTCGTCTCCGCGCCTTCCTGGGATCGGAGTGCTGGGCAGTTCAGCGCCGTGAGGGTCATCAGTCCGACCACGTGATCTGTGTCCTGCAACTTGCAGTAGTGAAGAAAAAAAGCAACCTTGGGCCCTGTGCTGCCTGCGTCTGGGTCGTGGTGTACGTCGTGGTGGTGGTCGAGACGCCCGGGAGGAGCGTGGAAGTGATGCGGGTCGTCGTTGCCGTTGTGGAGGTTTCGGTTGGACACGGCCCGTCACAAGACCTCGCTGAGAGTCGCTTCACAGGATGGGGCAAGCGCAGAAAAAGGGCGAAAGCCCAGCCTGAAAGCTTCGAGGAAGTACGTCGTGGTCTGGCGGCTGAAGCTGGAGATGACCTGCAGCTCTGCTCCGCCCTTTGCAACTCTCGAGATCTCGCAAAAAAACTCGCGAGGCTCCCCGGCTTGGATCTCAATGGACCCGGGTGCCGAGATGCCCTAACAGCTGGTCACACGCAAGTGACGCGGACGCAGCATGGCGCTCTATGATGCTTTGAAGACTCCGCTTTGACTGAGTAGCCAGGCGAGGGAGGTTCCCCGGAGCGGCCGACCGGAGACCAGGACGGAATCCGGCCCGAGGGCTTCGAGGTCGACGCGCAACCAATCACTCCGGCTGAAGACCTCACTGCACTGCTCTTATAAGATGCTCTGGAGAGCAAGACTCATGCGCGCCTGATACCGGATCTCGAGGTTCCGAGCGACAAAGTTCTCGGAAGGGTCGGTGCCTTGCCGGCCAAGGCACACGCAGCGCAGAGAAGAGAGCAGGTTGCAGAGGCCGCGGGCCGAAGCCACGGGAGACGTCGAAGGCCGGCTGCAAGAAAACCTCCTCGCCCTCCGCGAAGGCCTTGAGAGCTCCAAGAGCTGGAGGTGAAGCCTGGGAGCTGATAAAGGAGATGGAAAACCTCCGAGCTGATCCCCCGCATTACAGTGACTATAGTATATTACAATATACTATAGTGTATTGTAGTAGACTATAGTCTATAGTGTATTTTATTGTATACTGTAGTAAATTATAGTATGCTTTTGTCGCAGAACCACAGAAAGAAGGCGAGGAGCAACGGCGGCGGTGAGGCGCAGGCCGCGTGGCGGCAGCGAGGCCGAAGGCGTCGTGGCGAGCAGTCGGAGCTCCATCTGCTCGCTCCAACCACTGGTCTTCCTAGGAACGCCATTTTGCGGTTTAGGGCTTAGGGTTTCGGGTTTAGGGTTTCGGGTTTAGCGTTTAGGGCGCCATCTCTGAGTGCGCCATGTCTCCGGGAGCCTCCCCTCTCCCCTTTTTTTGTTGTGCCTTCCTCTTTCTCCCTCCGAGCTTCCATAGGGCTTAGTGTATTTAGGGGGTTGTTTCCTCTCCCTTGCTTGCTTGCTCTCGCTCTCTTCTCTCTGTCTCTCTCTCTCCCTGTCTTTTCGCCAGGGCTAGGGCGGGGGTTGCCCCCCACCCCGCCCCCGACCGTCGACCATTGTGGTGGGGCATGGAGAGAAGACAAAACACCACCAAGGCAACGACGCTTGTAGATCCAAGTCTCAAGCAAAAGGGAAGTATACTCAAACGGGCATTGCGGCCAACAGGCTGGGCGGTGGCGCGAAAATCAGCTGGCTCAATGAGTTATGGAAAAAAGCTGTGCTATGGTACAAAGCCTCAGGTCGGAGGCGGATTTTGCGGTGTCTGGAGGCTCCGGCGGCCCATCTAAGTAAGGATACAATAGACCAGCTTTGGGGTTTCCCCACAAGGAAAATTTGCTCTCACAAAGGCCCCTCAGTGTTGCTTCTTTTGTTTCTTGTCGTACCTGCCTGCGTCGGGCGGCCATTCCTGTAGTCGACGAAGGGAACGGCGTCAGTCTCGATACTGTGCTTTGGTGGCCTGTCTATGGGCCTTCCACTTCGCCCCGGCTTCAGCTGCAGGGGGAGCGCCCCTTGTGCACGCGGGTTCTGATCCCACAGCAGTCCCATTTTCCCCATTGAGACAACAAGGTGCAGGAGTAGAGGGTCCGGGCTCCAGGCTTGTCTGAAGGGGATCGCCCCGTTTTCCACGTAGGTGACGAATTTACTCTTGATGTCGAGGAGGAAGTATCACGTTGCACACCCTGCACAAAGTGTATGACCTGATGAGGTACAAGGGAATCGCACCCTGGTGGAAGGCGGCGTGTTGGGAGCTGACGTGGCCGGTGAAAAAGTTGTTGACGAACTTCCGAAGGTACGGGAGATGCCGTCGGGGAGAGTTGCACAACGACTTCCCCATCCAGAGCGATGTGCAGGGAGGGCGCAAACTTTGCGACGATGGTGTCCAGCAATGGCAGCAAGAGGCGTCCTTACTAGTCAGGGCCACTTGATGGAAGCAGCAACGGCGAGGGACTCAAGCACCGCTGAGGAAAGGCAGCAGAAGCTCCCCTAGGGGAGACACCCCCCAGGTTAACTCTGTGCCTCCCCTCTCCCCTGAGCAAGGAGGTGTAACAGACCCCAAGCAAAGGGTGCAGTACTTGACTCTTTCTTCTTTCGCCAATCTCTCTTCTTTCGCCAAGGCTGTAGGCAAGGGGATTGCTCCCCTTACCCACGCGCTTCAGCGTCCCCGACCGTTGTGGAAAGACACGTGGCAAATGCTCAGACTCAACAATGGCAACTGGGCGTGGAGGGTAAGCATTCTTCGGTAAAGCAAAGGAACCAGGAAACAGTGTAGTACGGCAAAACATAGACCGATAAGCAAGGTGAATGCTCCCCTAGGTTCATCAAGCCTCATTTCAGACAAGTCCTGAACAAGGTCAAGCAGAAAAATAGCTTAAGTCTCAGCCAGACGAAGAGGCCGTTGAAGTACGAAGGAGGTAGGCCTCGTGAATTACGAAAGAAGTGGCTCAGTCCACTCAAAAGTTGGGAGACACGGCTCCTCTGAAAAATACGGAAAAAGCTACAGTGTGCCCTAGAGGGACAGGTTAGGATCGAGTGGGGTCGGCTCCCGAGGGTGACCTCTGCATCCAGCTCAAAAAAGGCTCCAGTATTTTATGTCTGGATCGAAGTTTCTTCGGGGGTTTTCCCCGTCGTACATTGTCTCGAAGAAAGAAAACAAGCTGGGGTTTTCCCCCTTTCCTGCTGCTACGCTCAGTCCTGGGCTCACTTCTTGTAGGAGTGACCTTGGTCTGCGGTACTTCTCCGCATACTTTGGCTTGTCTTTCGTCCAAGTGCCCTGACGGCGTTCGACTTTGCGTCGTGCTCTGTACTCTGCCTTCTGCTCAGCACGGTGTTGCTTCCACTCCGCCTCGGTCATCTGGGGCGGGTTTCATCCCCCTCTTGTACATCCCCCTGCAGAGCGCGTCCGAGTCGGTGAAGTACACTTCGTTCTGTCGGGGTGTACCTCGGTGGCGGACCCACCGGCTCATTTGGTCTGCAACTGTAGACCGTCAGAGGGGCTCGCGTGGACCCAGAGGAGGCAGACCCCTCCATGTAGTGGTTGTCTGCCGGCTCAAGGGGGTTCCACTGTCCATCTGGCTTCAGCGGTGTTTTGAGTCATGTACAGGTTGCTCTTGATCGGGTAATCGAAAAGGAGGACATTCAGGTCGCGGGAGAGCATGATCCCGTAGATCAGTTCCTGGTCTTGCACCGACTCTAGCACATTCAGGTGGAAGAACATTGGCTCGCTTGCTAGGGGTTCTACTCCCCACCACCTTTGGCTTCTTCATCAGGGTGTCATGCGGAGTTGTTGTGGTAGCCAACTTCGACGGTGCGGCTTGCTCGAGGAGCGAAGTCGACGCAGCAGGCGGGGTAGTTTCCCCGGCAAGAATAGTTCTTGACCTTGTCGTCGAAGATCCCGCTGTGGGTTCACGTCCTGGGGGTAGGTCTCGTAGTCAAAGGACTCGTTGGCTGTGAGGAACTCCCCGTATCCAGATTGGCATAGTGGTTCTTCCTCGGGTTGGATCTGCTTTCCCGCCCCTTCCATTTGGCACTCCCACTGTAGTCGAAAGCGTAGGTCGAGGTGGCGCAAGGTGCAGGCTCGTGTTGGGGAAGACCCAATCATAGTCTTCTCCTTCTTCTTTGGCCGGTCTTTTTTCCCCTTCTTTTCTTTTTTCCCTTTCTTCCAGTCCTCGTCGCGTTGAAGCTCGGCTTTTTCCCCGTGTTGGCGTAGAGGTGCTCGAGGGTTGCGTGCTCCTCTGTCGCTGTTCTTTGGTGCCCAGGCTAGCTTCCTGCTCGAGTTGGCTTTGTGTTTTCACTTCTTCCATGGCGAGCTTCACGTCCTGTTGGAGGAGGTAGTGTTTGACCTGCTGAGGGGTCAGACCAGCGGTGCCGAAAAGGACGCAGTTGTCGGCCTCGGGGACGTGTTTGGTATGGGACTTGTTCCCCAGCACGCATCGTCGGCATACTTTCGGCACTTGGGGTGAGCTCCCCAGCTGGCTTGCCTTCCGCTGTGGGTTCTTGGCTGTTGAGGTAGAAGTCGAAGTCGAGGTAGAGGTCGCAGGCTCCCCTTGTACAGCAGCTTCTTGCTGTTTCCGAACAGCTTCGTGTATGAGCCAGAAGATAGTGCGACGGAGTTTCTCCCTGAGGAAGCTGCTGAGGGTTGCACCGTTGGGAAGGTCTGTGTCATGTAGTAGGCACGCAGGATCCCGCCTTTCGTGTCCTCCGTGGTAGCTTGGTCCACGGGCGCATCGCTCGCACTTGTAACTATTTGCCAGGTCCCCCGTCTTCAGTTTCGGTGCGGGGTTGTTCCCCAGCGACTTCTCCATGTCTTCGGACTTGTCTTTCGTCTTTCGGGTAGTCCCGGGTCGCAAAGGTCTCGAGGATCGCCGATGCCGATGGTAAGCAAAGTTGGGCACGAACTCCCCAAGGGACCGCAGAAAGAGCAGCGGTCGTCCTCCGGGTTTGTTGCACACCTAGCTTCACCGCAGAAGCGATGTGCAGGGTCAGTGTAAAGAAGCCGAAGGGGTAGTCCAGCAATGGCGGCAAGGCTTGGGAACACCTAGTTGGGCCACTTGATGGAAGCAGCAACGGCGAGGGACGCAAAGCACTGCTTAGGAAAGGCAGCAGAGACTCCCCCAAAAGAGGCACCCCTAGATTAACTCTGTGCCTCCCCTCTCCCAAGCAAGGAGGTGTGACAGAGCCCCAAGCAAAGGATGCAGCACTTGAGCCAAAATGGCTACAGTGGGGGAGTCTCTCTCCCCCTCTCTCTCTCTCTCTCTCTCTCTCTCTCTCTCTCTCTACAAGGCAAGAGGGGAAGCAAGAACGTGCCCTGCGGTTCAAGGGTACGCGTGGCTCCCCCCTATAGGATATGGCCACTTGGCTGTAGGAAGGGTCGTTGAATGGAGTCCCCCCTCTTCGCACAACAAACAACAGCAAAAATAAAACACATGCCTCAATACGCATTGCTAAGGCGAGGGCCAGGCGTACAACGGGAAGGACTCCAAGGTCGGGATTTCCAGGCAAAAACGTGCTGATCTCCCCCCGCTACGTATGAGCGGGTTGCTGAAAGTCTTCACGGATTGAACGGAATTAATTTGGGCCTTGAGAAGTTCCCCCCTAATTCGTGTCAACGAAGTATGGACAGTGAGGCTTCGAGGTGAGCCAAAAAGAAGCAAGGATTGTGGGCGTTCGGCCCGTTTTACATGGGTTGAGAGGGCTGTTAAGCCTGCAAAAGGTTCACACCTGTACACCTAATGCCCCTTCAGAAGACGACGCGGGCTTTTTCAGAGCGGTTGCGAAGTGCTTGTCATGACAACATTGCACTGGGAGAGTATCATCCCCCCTTTTGCTGCTCCCCCTTCACGAGGTCACCTCTTGTCTCACGGCTTCTAGCCATGTGTGCTTGGACCATTCGCACGCTCCTCCAAACGGGGTTGGACCAGGTGGGCCCTCCCCCCCTGCAAGTCATGGTTTCCAGGTCCAGCTTGGCCTTTCGGTGGCGGCTCCGACGTCGGCTCGCGGGGTCTCTGTGCTAGGACGCCGATGCTTTCACCTCTGTCTGACGGGCGTCCTGCACTCCCCCACCGCCATTGAGGAGAATCTCCCATGTTCTTCATCTGTGCTCCCCGGTGGGGTATTCTCCTCACGCTGTTCTTCCTCCCCTTGGCTGTCGTCGTAGGCGCGTGCTTTTGTCACATGCCTTCCCCCCTGTGGCAGGTCCTCTGACTCTTCTGTCCCCGGCGTAGCTTGTTCAGCAACTCCCCCAGGTAGTGGTTGGTGGCGAACTTCCTCTGAGGTTGGGGTCGTCGCCGACAAGTCTGCCGAGCGTGCCTTCTTGTTTTGCTTTTGGCTCCCCCGCTTTTTGCGGATCTTCCTCCGGATCCTTCGAACCTGTTTCAGCAGCTTCCCCACCTGGTCGTGGAACCGGGCGATGTAAACGTGAGCTTCCTCCGAGACTCTTGGCACATATTTGTCCACCAAGCGAATATATCTATCGACCCGGTCCCGCGTGCGGCTCCGCTATAAACGCCGGGCGTGGTAGGCTTCGTAAGACTTCGCCTGCCTCGGGGTCAAAAACTTCCCCGTGGTAGTGTCGAGGAGGCGTGCGGTGGTGTCGTCTTTCTCGATCCTTCGGCCTATCCACATGTCGAGGCTTGTGGGTTCGTAGAGCAAGAGCCTCCCCCCTTTCGTCTCGGAACTGTGTCATTTCTGATAGGGGGCGCCCCTTTGTTTGGGAGATAGGCCTTCGCTCTGCGGGGTCACGGGAGGCGAGCGGCTGCGTACTGGTCCACTCCCCCTCTCTGTCGAGCCATGTAGGCGGCATTCTGGGTCCGAACGCTAGTGTGCTTTTCTAAACCCCGTAGTACAAACCCCTCCCCCGAGCCTGCACAACTTGCACTGTCTCTCCATCTTACTCCCCCACGTAGGTTGTGCTTCACTATGTCGCTTTCCTTGCCCAAGTCACGAACTTGACCGCTGATGGCCTCCCCCGCCCAGTGAACTGGTTCGTAGTGATCGGCTTGGCGATGCCCTTGGTGGAGAAGTAAGTCCCCCCTCCTGCAAAGCGTTCGGGAGCAAGTCCTTGCAGTGTACTACTCCCCTGCAGGGCTGTAATCCTCGAACGTCCCTTCTCGGTTATGGCTCCCCCTCAAGGCACGGAACCTGCTAGGGGCCTCTGGAGCAGGGTGGCAGTGGAAAGGTGACTCAAGCCTACCCCCGCTTGAAGGAGCGTCCACCTATCAAGGATGCTGGGAACAACCAGCACCCTCGGAAGGCCGTCCTCAAGCGCCCTGACAGGGAGCGGCAGGTCGACTTGAGCCAAAATGGCTACGGAAAGAGTCTCTCTCTCTCGCTCTCTCTGCTGGTGTCAGAGGAAGGCTCCCTGCCAAGTCGAAGGCGGCCTGGAAGGAGCTCCTCCCCGCGAAGCTGTCGTCGGTCCTCAATGACTCAAAGCAGTGGGTTTAGGGCGTTAGGGTTGCAGCGGAGAAGAGGAGCAGAGCATCGGCTCTCCGACTCCTGGAAAAGCTGCGCTTCCGCAGCACTCCACCAGTGGGCTCCAAGGACAACCAGGCCGGTACCTCGCGCGCGTTCGCGAAAAGCATCCCCTACACAGGCAAAGCAGAGGCAGAGAGCTCCGCACGACCGCATCCAGCTGCCAGTCGACGTCCTCGTCGCCCTGGTTCCTCCGATACAAAGAGCGAGAAAGGGATACACGAAGGCCAGGCTGGGCCAGGGGGCCGCAAGAAGAAGTCCCCGCGGCCGGCAGGAAGCGACTCGGGCGCCGCAAGCAGCTCTGGGGAGGAGAGGACGTGGGCGTAGAGATACTCGTCGGGGTCCTTGAAAAAGGCAGAGCAAAAGCAGGTCGCGGAAGCAAAGAAGCTGCAGAGCCTGAGCGATGGAGAGGTACACCAGGTCTAGAGTTCCCGAGGATCTGGTCACGGAGCAAGCTTGGCCGACAAAGCCATCATCGCCTCCGGGTTTCGGGTGTTCGGGGGATCTTTTCCGCTCAGCTCCACTCCGGGGGCCCTGCAGGAGCACGTGCTGCTCGTGGCATCACAGGTCCCTCAAAGGGCGAGGAAAACACTCAAGAGGTTCCCTCTTTCAGTGTCCCCTCTTCCGCCTTGGCCGCTGCACCAGGAGGTGTTCCCATCACCCACTGTGCGGCCGGGGCAGCTTCTCACGTCAATGGCACGATCCTGGGAAGCACGTCGCACTTCAGACGAGAAGCTTGCTCAGCTCACGATGAGCATGGAAACAGGTAGGCAGCTGGGTGGAAAGGCAGGAAAAGGAGGCAGCGAGCAATGGCGGCTGGAAAGGCAGCACGGATGGGGATACAGCAGAGACCCGCTCTTGTCTTTCTTTGGCGCCAAGTCGCGGGAGGCGCTGCTCTGATGGCCTCTCTCGGAGCTACAAAGACTGGCACTGCCTCAAAGGCCCCCTGCCCCTCCAAAGCCTCCTTGAAGTCCTCGTCGCTACTTGCCGGGAACACCTCCTTTGCGCGCAGATGCCATCAGCAGGCTCGGGCGTAAACGAACAGAGTGCTTCGGATCGGCCGAAGAAGAGTGCAGCGCGGGCACGTCAAGGCACCATCTTGGGGTGGATGTTAACTGCCCCCCCTCTTTTGGCAATGCTAGCCTCTTGACCACCCACAAGCCGGTCATGTCGCACCAGGATGCAGGATGCATAGAACGGGGTGGGGAGTTGCTTCGGATCGCTCTGGGAGGGGGGCCGTCTAGGGCCTGAGTTTCGGTCAGCTTCGCAAGACAACCTGTGATTCGGAGAACCGACTCAGAAACCAGGGAAAGGATCACGAAGACAGCAACTACACACAACGAGGACGATGACACACGCACGACGAGACCATTTTAGCCAACAACAAGCCAGCAAAACGACCGCGGCCGACGCCGACGACCGCGAACCATCGTCTCAAATGAGCGGGGGATTTAAGACGTGGGGCAAACCCAGGGCCTCATGAGGGGCCGGCTTGAAGAATTCAGACAAACAGCAGTGATCTGATGAGGAGGCCGGATTCCAAAATGAGATCGATCTCGCCTTCGCCTAATCGGAGGCGGGTTGAAGGTTTAAGATCAACTGCCACGGCTTATTGCGGGAAACTCTCAGCTTTCCCACTCATGGAGCCCGGCTACACAAAGCTTCATGCTCTCCTTCCGCAGCTCCTCGAGCCTTCCCAGATTCAGATCCTCCTGGGCAGATCGTGCTCCCTCGCTGAACTCAACTCCGATCCCTTAAGCACGGGAGAAAAGCCTCGAAGATTTTGATCTGGCCCTCCGACACGTGGAAGGCAACAGTCGCCAGGTAGCAGAAGACTGCAGCTGCGACTATCGAGAGCAGGATCAAGAGGCAGCGAGAGTGATGGAGACCTCGGTAAAAGAAGATGCGGAAAATGCTGGGCCCACTTGACTCTAGGGCAAGAACACGGGGAAAAGCGCTTCGCCACGACCCGCTCGACCAATCCCAAGTCCTCTTTTTCAGCGCTTTTGTCGGCAGAGCTCTGGCTCTGGCTCTGGCTCTGGCTCCTGATGCTTCACGTCCGTCACCCCCTGGCGACGCTTCTACAAGGCTAAAGGAAACCCCGGCATGGAAGGGTGCCGGCCTTCACCAGCAATCTCGGCTTGGACTGAATGCCCTCAACAGAGGCAAGAAGAAAAATGGTGCAGAAGATGAGGCTGTCAGTGCCAGCACAACGACACCATTTGTGACACCATACATCCGTGGATTGCAAGCGGACGTGTGCAGGAACCTGCGCATGCGCGCATGTGCGTACTTGTGCATTCGCGTGTGTACGTCTGCGTACGCATGCGCACGGAACGCTTGTACACAGCCACTGCATTGCACGCTCGTTTGCATAGGCCTGTGTGCGCATGCACGTGGGTGTGAGTGGTGTGGGTGTACAGGGTGTCTTTGTAGCTGGCTCAGACATCAGACATGCACATGCCTTGCATTCTACGCAAAGCCACGCTCTGTGTCGCCTGGGCGATGTGATCGCGCCGACCTGAGCTGCCCTTAGGGGGAACGCTCCGGCATTTCCCTTTCGATGCGGCCTTCAGGAGATCGCTTTCGGCAGCAGCAAGTCAGAAGCGGAATGATGTAGAGGTCGTTTACCAGGATCGCTGCCGGAAAGATGATCAGCACCTCATGCAGAAATTTCACAGCTCGGGAGGGGACGCGTTGCACCAGGGAGGAGGCATTCAAGAAGTTCCATGCCACGAGCGTTGCCATGAAGAAGCCGAAACTCCTCCACAAAATGCACTGGCTGGCTATGGCAGAGGGTCTATTTGGGGTTTTTTCAGGATTCACACATGTTCAGGGTTCAAGGCGCATACGCCTGAGGACTTCCGGCCTCTGCAGGCCCGGGCCAATGTCAGATGAAATTCTCAAAACGGTTGCAGATAACTCCCATATGCAGTTTCGCTATGAGGGTCTCCACATTCTACAGGTGAGCGGGTGAGCTACCATGCCCATCCATGCCCATCGTATGGCGCTTCTAACTTGTCAATTTGCAGGAGCTCAGGAGGTCTGTGCTGTCTTCGGCGAGATATTCGCTTACCCCGTAGTTCCACGGCAAGGACCTCCCTGGGCGGCTTACCCTTATCCCCGATCCGAAACCGCAGCAAAGGCAGAAGCCACATCTTGAGGACACCGAAGAATTGGTGCTGATTCCGAAGCAACGCAAGACCAGACGAACCGCCACTTAAACTCTCGATATGTCAGCTCCTTACCACAGTCACGATGGAGAAGCAGTTGGCATAAAAGGAACCGCATGTTGTTACTGTCCTGAGATGCAGAGACTCCTGGGCTTCGCCTGGCAAAGACTGAGGGCGTGGCGTGACCAGCATCGGTGCGGTCCCCTCTTTGTACGCCCATCGCATCTTCTGCTGTGGAGTGGCCTGGGCCGGTTCCAGAAGCAAACTAGCTCCACCAGACGGAGTGCAGACTTTGCACCTCTGCACCCAGCAGCACAGCCGCAAGAGAGTAAGTGTTGAAAAGCAGAAGCACGTCATCTGCCGCAATGCCTCTGCCGCAGGCGACTTTCACACTTGCGAAGGAACGAGAGAGCCGCGCCGAGGATCACGAAGAGAGAGACGAAGTCCAGGATGCTCAGGGCCTTGAAACCTGGGAAAACTTCCCCCACAAAGGGGGCTCGCACCCTCCCTCATAGGCAGCAGGCCGGCGACGACGAAGTGAAAGTAGTAGGTCCCCACAAAAGCCAAGGCCACCCCTCAGAGTCAGAGTCACTCAAGTGCCGAAAACCACGTTACAAGCCAAGTGAGGCGCGGGGCCAAGTGAGGCGCGGGCCGATGGCACCGAAGAAGGTGATGAAGAGATTTTGGATTCGCGCCAACACCAGCAAGGCGACGGTTGCCATGGTGCCCAGCGCAAAGAGCGTATCGAAGCGCAAGTAGTACAAAATCCTGAGAGCTCTCTGTTGAAGGCATGTTATCACTCTTTCTTCAAGCAGCAGGAAAGCTCCACTGAAAAATGCCCCCGAGGTCTTGCCCTTGCTCTTGGGCGACGAGGGGCTCGTAGTTGTTGATCCTGGCATGTGACATGTTCTGAAGGCCCCAACCTCCACACCCCTAAGGCACACATATATGGAAGGATCTCCTCTTCTCATACCACGTAAACTTCACGTGCTTGTAGGGCAGGGCATCGTCCCCGGTCAGATCGGCTCGTCGCAAGAACTCCTCGAAGAGGCGGCCTGACACCATCGCAGTGAGGCTCACTTGAGTGACACCAGCCAAAAGACCCTTTCCGGGGATACTGGTAATCCAATGGTGTCCTTTTCATGAGGACCCTCTTGAGACGAAGACAGAAGGAGCTAGGGGAAGTCAACACGCGCTCGCGACTGCTTCCTCTGCCGGAAGGCACTCGACGGCTAAAGTATTGAGACTCGCGTATACAGGAAGCGTCGTCCCAGAGGAGGCAAGTGGCAATCGCAGATGAGAAATCAGAAAGCGAGATGCAAGGCGCAGCTTGGCCGGCGGATCCGTTCAGCAACTCCGCTGAGCTTCTGATCCGGCTTTGGGCCTCTTGCGTCAGACGGAAGTCGAATGGACAAAGGAGAGTGACGAGATCAGGATGTTGGTGCATAGTAGACATGCTACTCTTGCTCATTTTGCCACACCTGCACTGATGCTGTTCACAAACCGTGCAGGCACACCAACTCAGAAAACTACGCCATACTACGCTGGCACACCGAGAGCAGACTTGACACCAAGCTTCACACCCTGGCCCCAGGGGCTAAGGCCAGAACCTGAAAAGCACCCAAAGCGCACACATAGCCCGTTGGCTGCGAACACCCAAAGACTCCACAGCCGAATTTCAAAAGGACCACCATGCCCTGCCATGCCCTGCCATGCCCTGCCTAGCCAGGCATTTATCTTCGCCTCCTGCTCAGCACGTCGATCATCCCAGCTCAAGTATCCAGGCAGTGGCGCACCTTCACCAGGTCAGGCAGTGCGCCGTGCGCATAGTGCAAAGCTTGCATAAAGCTTGCAAAGAGGAAGCCTCCGTACAGCGTCGCACGTGAGTACCTTGTCAGCGTGGGAAATCGGGCTGGCCGGGCAGAGATCGGACGGGTCCCAAACTGGCTCTTCAAGTTGTTGCGGTTGAAATCGCCATCCGTCCACCTCATACAAACTCGCCGCGCCGGGCAGAAACTGCCCCAGCTCAGGACAACGCCAGCGGATCTCGTTGTCCACGAGCTCCTTCAAGACAGACTCCTCAGCCAAGGAGAGCTCGACTCTGACCTTTCGTGGAGCCTTTTGAGCCGAGACGGGCACGATGTCCGCCAGCGTGCCCGAACCATCGTAGGCCCTGAGTCGAGCGCCGAAAGGCCCCGCCTTTTCCCCTGCCGAGCCGACAGGCCGCGCACAGTGACATGGTGGAGCCGTTGTGGAGGCTGGCATTCGGCCTAAGCATGCGGCGAGGCCCCCGACTCAGCTTTGAACCCTGTCTGCGTCAGCCGAAACACACTGAATAGAAGAGGTTCTTCACCTTAGACAGGACATCGATGACTTGAACATTCCCGCTTCCAACAGAACTGGCATCTCTTCAGACAGGGTGCAGAGTATGGCACATCACAGGAGGATCCTCGATCGTGCCACCTGGGGATGCTGCGGCGCGAACCGGGACGAGGACGTTCAAGTCAGTGCAATGCTGACCGCGGATCGGCAAGTTCGTTCGTGCGCCTCCGACAGAAGTCTCCATATCCATCGAAGGATACCTTATGCCAGAGTTGGCCAGATCTTCGCAAGCTCCACTTGACTTGGTCTCAGTTCACCCAGCGGCCAATTGATCTTCGAAATCCTTGATCTCCTTCAAGGCTTCTTCGGTGAAGATGCCTGGAAGTAGAATCGTTGGGCAGATCGACCAAAACTGTGCGCGCACTGTCTGCCTGTGCTCGGGTCCACAGCTTGGTAGAAGATGTCCAGCTCCCAAATCTGGTATGCCTGAGAATTCCCCTGACACGGGCTACGGCCTCTATGACAATGGCTGCGGGCTGCAGGCACTTAGCCACTCGTCTAGCAACACTAGTCAGGCCCAGCAGCTAGCGGCGTCTGCTCTTGCACCCTTGGTTGTGAGGCCACCGGCGCGATTCACACAATCGGACAAAAACTGAGTTCAGCTGCCCTTGCAGTCGACGCCCAAGGCCAGTGTCCTGCATGACGAGATGAAGGAAGCGACCTGCCGCCGTCGAAGAGCACGTGCCTCCATGGAGCCATTGCTCCTAGAGGAGGCAAAAAGGCCGCAAAATGAGACGGCAAAACATCTCTGCCTGCAGGGCCTGGCCTCTGTCTTTGCTCATAGTCGTAGACTGTCCAGCCCTTCAACGAAAGGCCCCGTCTCTTCCCCAAAACTCTCCCCTTTTTTTCCCCTACTCCGACCCTCCATTCTTGCGATCTCCGCCGGCGGTCCCCCGTCTTGCGCCTCCGGCCGAAACCAGCCACCACTGCCCGCCGCTTCCGGCCGCAGTAGCTGAGTGCTGGACACCTGTTCCGAGGAGGCCTCGTTGGCGGCGTCCAGCAAGTACTGCTCCTTCGGGTTCAGGGTTTAGGGCTTTAGGGTGTTAGGGTTTAGGGTTTAGGATAACATCAATCCTGAGGGCCCCCCCTTGGCTCAATTGCTCTCGGGATCGCTCCTCCAGTTCGGCCCGCAAGTAGTCGGAAAAGTCCAAGTTGACCTCAAAGAAGGGGCCCCGTCCCCCAGGCCCCCCTTGGGGCCCCCAAGGCCCCCAAGGGCCAAGAGCTTTTGCAGATAAGAGACATTCACTGCAAAGCCTCCAAAAACAGAATCTGTGGCTTAAGGGTCATGAGAGTGGCAAAGCCGCCTGCGGAGCTCAGCCCCAACAGTCCGAAGCTACAGGGCAAAGCCTCGTGGTTCACCACAAGAATCAAGCAGTGTCTGACCAACATTCTCTCTCAGGACCAAGCAATACCGAACAGCAAGACAAAACATGGGCAGCCTCAAGAAGGCCGCCGATGCTGGCAAGAAAACCGGCCGATCCCTCTCAGAGTTCGGCTCGTCAACACCCAAAGCCACAGATCCGTGGGCGTTAGAAGACGTGCGTCGGGATTCTTTGACAGGCGCCAGCGCCAAATTGGCACAGCTACCTGGTCACGCAGAATTTCAAGACCCGGCCCTACCACAGCAGCGGACTCGGCGACCCGGGCCAAGTGCCACGTAGCCCGTCACAAGAATGCTGGCCACGAAGAGGAAACCGATCCTTTGCAAGCTGGCCGCTTCTCCCAACTCGGGGCGGAATCTCTTGCCGTCAAGAATCGCTGGCAGCAGCTCATCGTTCATTCGAACATTGTGCGGAAGGTTTGGGCTAGCTCGCTGTGCGCTGTGCAAGTTGCATCAACCATGATCTGGAATTTTTAACCCCAGGACCGGTTGCCGGGAATCTGTCGGTTTCCACGGTTCGAAAACTAAGCATTCCAAGAGGTCATGATCCTTCCCAATTCGAGCATCGGCATGAGTGCCAAACAACGGCGGGCAACTCTAAGCGAGCCGTTTGCACGTCGCACATAAGCGCAATCTGCGCAACACGCAAAATCATAAAAATATATAACTCGAAAAACACGACTGATGCAATTACCAAGAACACGATCACCGTTACATAACGCGAACAACGAAAAGGTGAAAAAACGATACACGCAACACGCCACAAACACTAAAAACACCAAACTCGACGGAAAACACGAGCAAAATTACAAGTACCCAATAAATGCCACATCCTGCTATTCAACACTGTTACTATTGTTTGCGATTATGATAGAAGGATTACTTTTATTACGACTGCTCTCTGCTGCTATTGTTGTGTTAGTGCAATACAGCTGTAGCATTTTTACCACAGTTTGTGCCGCGTGTTCGCGTTATTCGCGTTTTACGATTTGCCTTAGGGCTGATTCTATATAAAAGTTGCTCACTCAGTACTTCGTATCAATATAAAAATTGAGTCGCCGCAGAAGAGGCACTTCGCCTCATGAGCACTTTGCCCCGGGTGGGGTGGGTGGGAAAACTTTTGTCTTGAGCTCGCTCAGAGCACAAGCCTGCGGCGGCTTCTCCAATGGAACTGACATAAAGCCGTGATGCATGCTGCATGTAAAAGTTTCTTGATCTTCACAAAAACTGGAAAAAGAATCAGCCTCGTTTTTCTGCACCAGAAAAACTGCAAAGAGGCAAATCGTAAAGCAAAATCATGCACGCATGAGTAAAAGCTTACGATCTGCCTTGGGGCTGATTCTATATAAAAGTTGCTCACTCAGTACTTCGTATCAATAAAAAGATTAAATATGTCACGTCACTTTATCGGACGAATATAAACGAGTCAATTGCAATTTATTCAATCACGTCCCTCTGTGGTGCAACGGACTCCTTCATTTTCGCGCCGAGCGTCAAAAGGTAACACACAGGTGCAGCAGCATGCATACACCGATGTGGCACTTTGCCACAAAAAAGGCATTTCGCCTCATGAGCACTTGCTCCTCCAATTTGACGTGCTCAAAAGGCGTAACGCTTGAGTTGTAATCCCGTCAGAGGACACGAGGGCATCAATGCTTGGAAACGATGGCAACAATTCGGACCACTTGCCTCTGGATGGTCCATCTTTTTCATTCATTCAATCGCCGCACGAAGAGTCTCGTGTCTTGCGGGCGGTTCCTTTCAGGATGGGAGCTTTTCAGTTTCTGTCTGGTGAGCTACGTAACGTTTCGCCACGCTGCTCAGTGGCAGCAAAACTACAACTCCAACTTTTCAACACGTGAGAACACGAATGTCTCACTCAGGCAAAGCTCAAGCGCACTAAGCGCACTAGTCCTATACAGTGTGCAGGGACCGGTATACGGCTCCCTGTCTCCGACACTCAAAACTGAAATTCCCCACCCCACGATGCCAGGTCTTCCCAGTTCGGAGGTGTTGCAGATTGAACAAGATAGAGCCGCTCAATATCAAGGATCTAGTTCGCTTCCACGCGCCACGGAAGCTAAAGTCAAGGAGCAAGCTCTCGGCATCCCAAGGCAAACGCAATATATCAATGCATGGCCAAACTTTGCAAATCTGCAAGGACGGAATGCCAACCCGGAAGAACCTGAGTCGAATCTGTCTGAGAGCTACGCACTCAATCCTTGTTCTGTCCCTTGTGTCGGTGTACACTTGAGAGCCGCCTCGATGAAGCCGAAATCGCTGCATTCGGTCTCCAAAAGAGGTGCCAGG